CTTTCCCACAGACTTCCCACTGAGGTGCCTTGATACAGCACTCTGGGAACAGCCTATTTGTTCAGCAATTTCTTTCTGTGTCTTACCCTCTTGCTTGAGGGTGTCAGTGATGGCCTTCTGGACAGCAGTCAGGTCGGCATTCTTACCCATGATTGCGGTTTTGAGTAATGAACAAGGCTGGGAGTTTTTAAAAGCCTCAAGAATCTTTTGCAGGTGTTTAGTTATGTCGTTGATTCAGATGGTTAGGTTAATAGCTTGTTTAGAGAATCTTTTTATGATATGCTAATTTTTTGGGACAGGCATTTTGGGTTTTCATGAGCTGTATGCCATAATCATCAGTATTAAAACAATTAAAGACCTGAAATATTTCAGTTGGTGTGTAATGAATCTGAAATATATGAAAGTTTCATTTTTATCATTACATTATGGAAAATAATGACCTTTATCACAATATGCTAATTTTTTGAGAAGGACCTGTACATGAAGTGTACTTAAGTACAGTAACAAGGTATTTGTACTTGGTTACATCTCACCACTGACAAAATATTAATTTTTTTCTTAAGCAGCAGGCTGTACATCATAGAGGGAATGCTTAGCCTTTGATATAATCTCTATTACCATTAAATCAATGTATTGTGTTTATTGCAACACCTCAAGCTTATATACAGTATGTATGACCAAATACGTGTAGAAACTTTCTGTTTAAACTATTTAGCCTATTAAAAACAACATTCGACTAGTTGCTGCTCTGCTCAGTAGACACAAAGATCAACAGAACATGGCTTCAGACGGCTCACCTCTGCAGAAGCTTGTTTGGGATCAAACCAGGGGTCCGTGCTTGTCCCGATGTAGTTTCTTTTATTACTCAATCACAACAGGTAGGGTTGAGAGCAGTCAATTTATTTATATCATTTAACTTCTGCCTTACAATTAGATAACCTGAAGGTTGGAGCTTTAACAGCTGCGTCACTAAAGATCAATGTTAACACAAATAACTTTTCAAGTAAAGTAGATTTTTTTTCAATTTTATTCATTCCCATATGCATTTCAGTTAAAAAAACAAAAAGGTCATTGTTTTATTAGATTGACTTTGATAACCTTAAAAAGCACCACCAAAGACAAAGAATATATCATAAAACACTGAACACATGATATCTTCTAAAACATGACCTTGAGTTGAGAGCTGCAGGCTGTACAGAAGATATGTGGTATGTTGAAAATGATTAAACGTGTGTGGTTAAAAAAAACAAAAACAAGGACAGTATGTGGTATGTACGGAGCAAAGTCATGTTGTCTTGTGAGACATATGGCTGCACCAGCTGGAGTTCGTACATTGTTGCAATGATAAGTGGCTTTTTCTTGGATTTCCTCCTTTTCTATGTTTATTCCTGCCGTTCCTCTCCTCTTTACTGCACGTTTATTTCCTGCCACTTGGATTCTTTGCTGCCTAAAAATCAAACTGTTGTTTAAATGCAGGCAAAGACAGAGGCGTCGTCATCTTAAGGCAAAACTAAAGTTATTTAGTTAATCTGGGACTGTTTCATATCATCAGACTTATTAGAACAAAAAATATATATATATATATTTTTTTTGTTTTTAATTTATCCTGTTCAGAACCATGGAGCCCAATTGAGAAATACTGAGATAAATAATTGAAATCATTTGATCAGATCAGTCCTTTACTTGGCTATGAGCTTACCGTACCCGCTCACAAACATTTACACCTTGAATAAACTACTTCAGAAATCGTTTTAAAGGGACTGGTTTTGCATTTATCTAAAAAGTATAAGTATAAACTATGCCAGGGTGGAGCGAACACCCACATTAACAATACATCAAAATACAGAGAAATAACATTCACTAAATATCCTTAGAAATCAATTGGAACTCTTTTCCTTGATATGGTTTACAATTTTTGTCAGTAATTTAACACTTCAGTGCATACATAAAGTTTAATGGTGTCAGGATCAGAACAAAACGAGAACGATGTAGAAGAAAAAATGTAAATACGTTCCAATTACTGTTTTTGTTTTTAAGATGGGGATGATTTGTGCTTACAATCTTATTCTGATTCTGATGTAGAACTGCATCGAGTGATGCTACAAAATCCACCAATCCTCTAAAAGCACATGGATTTTCTGAGCTTTCACTTTCATCATGGCCACGCAGGGCAAGTTCAAATGCACCACAGGACTTGACACAGTCTATTAGTTTTGATAGAATGTGCCTGTTTTTGTCAACCTCATTGTGCTTACGGATCCCTACCCTGTAGCCTTCATCAAGCTGAGAAGAAATGTTTATTTTCCCAAACATGGCCAGTCACAGTGCAGTTTCCATGTGGATCCCAGATTGTTCACGCTTCTTTGCCTTCTCTAAAAAAAAGCTTTAAATCAGCCATACACCTGAATTACAATCTCAGCTGGGGCAACAGCACCACCAGCCTGATCAAGAAAGCTCATCAGAGATAGGCCTGTCACAATAACAAATTTTGCTGGGCGACGGTCTCAGAAATTATTGCAATAAACAATAATATTGTTTGAAATTTGACAATAATTAGTAATCATGGTCAAATTTATGAAGAAAGGTTGGTTAACTTGTTTTGCACCTAGTACCTTTTTTTGATCACCGGAAGGCAGTATGACTGTTTGAACCGAAGGATGGATAGTGAGGGAGCGAGCAGAGTGCCTCTTTAAGAAAAATGGGAGGGAGGCCCCTTGACGTGACATGGGCCGTCTCTCCTTCCTTTCTTTGGTTCTCAAAATGGCGGACGCTCGGTGTGGTTTGAGCTCTTTATCATAGCATTTTTCACACAAAGCTTTTAATAAAAAAAATCAGTAAACAAGTTCTCAGCTTCTTTTTGCAGAGAAAAACAACTTTTTACACAAAAGCACAGGTTTCAACCGTGAATTTTGGAGCTTCGACAAGACGGAGGTTTTTTCCTGAGGTCGGCCTGTTAGCTTAGCTCGTAGTTTAGCTTCTCAGCTTAGCTGCTTTTAACGATCCAAAAACGCAATTTTGGATGGTTAAAATTGATTTTAAAGAGAAAAGAGAAAGGGAGGGGTCAATGAAGAGCACCGGAGTTGAGCCTTTTGTCATCCAGTGTCTTCAGTAGAAGGAGAGACACGAAGAAACAATAACACCGATAAATGAAAATGATGTTGATAATTTTCATTTATCATGCGATTAATTTATTTATTGTTTATTGCGACAGGCCTAGTCAGAGACTACTTCCTCAGGCAGCTGAGACAAGCTGGTCTGGGAAGCTCAGTCCTCACCTCCTTCTACAGGTGTGCAGTGGAGAGCATCCTGTGCTCCAGCATCAACGTGTGGCATGGAGGCTGCACAGCTGCTGAAAGAAAAGCTTTGCAGAGAGTAGTGAAGGCTGCACAGAAGACTGTTGGAGTCAGTCTCCCCACCATCACAGACATCTACACCTCCAGATGTAGGAAGAGAGCCACCTGCATCATGAAGGACCCCACTCACTCAGCACACACACTTTTTGCCCTGCTCCCCTCAGGCAGGAGCAAGAGGTCAAGGAGCATTAAGTGTAGAACCACTAGACTGAGGAACAGCTTCTACCCTGAAGCTGTTAAGACTCATGAATCTCTAACCAGGATAATCAATGTGAAAAAAATCACATCATGTTGCTGCTGATCTGTTTCATGTTGCTGCTGATATGTTTCATGTTGCTGCTGATCTATTTCAATGTTGCTGTGTTCATTCGTCCTCATCTGCTCACACAGACTCATGTTCGTGCTGCTGTTTGGCATATTGTTTGTATGCTACTAGTGCTTAGTGTATATTTAGTTGATATTTTTCTTAGTTCACATCTTAGACCTTATTACTGTTTTTCTTTTACATTTTATACTTTCGTTGGCTGTAACTGGGACCCAATTTCGTTCCGCCACATGTGCCACGTGATGCATATGATAAATAAAGAACCTTGAATTTGTCTGTTTCTCAAAGTTTCTAAAATTTGACTCCACATGAACACATCAAAACTGTAGTTATTAAACACCTCCACTTTGGAAAGTGCTTGTTGTGAAACACGTTTTTCTCACCAAAAACTGTTTGTTACATGTGGATGGGAGGTGTAAATCCAAGTTTTTAAAAATATCTAGTGTAATGTGAACAGGGCCTAAATTGTTGGAGGCTACTGGGGCACCGACTAAAAACCTATGCCGGCTCTGGGAGGAAAAAAATAAAATTAATGCCACACTGGTGGTGGTTGAAAAGGACAAATTCAAATCCAGAATCTTCATACGGTGAAGACACAGGGCTGAAGCTAAATTAATATCAGACGTTAGATTTGGTTCAACAGATGGTCATGCACTTCTCGTCTCTAAGTGGAGCGGCTGCCTGATGTTTCCACAGTAACTTCACTTGTTCTCAAATTGACTTAAATATAGGTTCGCATTTCTTTCTATCATTTTAAGAAAGTACAGATGAAACAAAAATAAACTGCTTATTGAAAGCAACACGGTAGAAAACACTGAAATTGTTATGGTGACAACAGGCCCAAAAAAACATTTCTGGTTGAAGTAAACAACTTTGCTCGCTCTGATTAAATACTGTGAACCTTAAATTTGGCAGGTTTGGAACAGATTAAATATTGATCCCCCCACCCACCCTTCACATTCAAACAGCGGCATGCATTTTAAATGTGGTGGCAGAGATGATGGCTGAAATTTTTACATCCTTTCTCGTTGAATTTTCTATGATGTGTCAAGAAACAAAGAAAAACAAACTTCTGTACATATAGTATTTTTTATATAACCCCCTAAAAGAGAGGGAAAAAAAATGTATAAAAAATAACCAGTGAAGAAGACACAAAAGAAAAAGTTTTATGCTCCCCACAGTAAATATTGTTCGAAGACAAAATGTATTTCAGCCTTGCACAATAAAAAATTTGCTCCAAATACAAATAAATGTCTGGATAAAACCCTCCAAGGTGCCACTGAAGAGATAAATTAAGAATTTTTGAAGTAGAACTCAGTATTTTACCCAACAATGTACTCATTCTTCACAATACATCACTTAATCTAGATGTCAGAGCTGTTAAAAAAAAAAAATTGAATTAGTAACAAAAAAAAACTTAAACTAAACCCAAGTTCTATCGGTGCACCTGGGTATTAGATGTCAAAGAATTTCAGACTGTGGTTTGTCGGCTGAAGAGGTCAAGGGTCACGGCGGCGAGGAAGGCTGGGATGCTCTTCTGGTGATGCAGATGGAGGGCCACCATCTCTCCAAGAGTTTTGGAGAACTCCGTTTCCATAAGTTGCATGGATCCATTCGAGCCCTGCATCAGATGCCAAAAGCAAAACATCCAACAATTACACATCAGTTTTCCAACAACTTTTGAAGAGAAGCGAGATTACTTGAAGTTGCTCTCGTCTGAAGGGAATTGTCAAGTGTGCATCAGTGTTTGCTGTGTGTGTACACGATCACAGCAGGAGGGAGGGCGTCTAAACCTGTGTGGATTAATTAAAAGGAATGAGGAGCAGCTCGGGGCGATGGAGTGAAGGAGAAAGGGATGAGGGAAATGGGATAAAGTAATTAAAGCAATGCAGGGAGAGAAGGAGGTAGCGAGGAGCAGAGTCCCATGACATGCTGAGGAGATATTGAGACGTCGGAGAAATGTCCTGTCGGTGTTTGTCAGAGACACGGATCTTTAATCAGGTGGACAGCAGGTCATGAGAAAATACCGAGGAAGGCAGTCCCAAGACGCTTTTGGACTTAAAAAATAAACATAATATAAAAACACATTTTACATTATGGTTATAAAATTGCTCAGACTTTAACTAAAAGAAGTAAAAGTGAGAGCCCAGTGGCGCATTGTCACAAATCTCTTCTGGGTGGAAGGACAGGTTCCTGAACTAATGGCATTTAAAGCTGACTGCACAATGTTTAACTGGGGATGGAAATGTGGTATGGGAAGTGCTTAAGAGGCACAGACCGCACAGTTTTCTGTCTTTTTATGCAAAATGCACAAAAACTGAGATATAACACTGTTTTACAGTTAAAGGCAGTGAGAGGGAAACTCAACTTTGAAGGACACTTTTAGGTTTTTTTTTTGTTTTTTTTCCAGTGATTATATCAAATAAGACTTATAGCCTAATATATATATATATATATATATATATATGAAAATTCCCAAGTTAAAAAAATTAAACATACAACTCACCAAAGTTCATGCTTAATAATCCAGGTATAAAATCCAACAGTGTTCAGTCAGGTCATATGGATGGTTTCCTTCTTTGCCGAGACGTTTTGTCTTTCATCCAAAGGACTTCCTCAGTTGACGAGGGAGAGGGCAGTCCCCAGAGGCCATCTTAGTACCAGCAAACTGTGTTTTTCCCCACTATGGAGTATGCTGCGTGTGGGAATCAGTTTTGTTTGGTGGTCTCTCGGAATGAGGAAGTCCTTTAGATGAAGGACGAAACGTCTCAGCAAAAAAAGAAACCGTCCAGATGAACTGACTGAACATTGTTGGCTAAACAAATAACTATTTAAGCCCCCAGTATACTGCCGCGTACATCCATATGCAGAGGTACGCATGTACGTACGCAGAGGTACGTGCGTACCCCCAGCGTACTCTCGGTGCAAAGCTCAAATTTTCACGACCATATACGCGTACGCGGTGCCGCACAATAAACTGCCCAGCGACGGACTGTTTTGTATGCGACACCAATGTATTAAATTCCCCTTCTTCATCTCTGATCTGGCCTTTTCTTTTGTTTTTTTGCCAAGAGGCAGTGATCTCTTCCTCCTCCGTTGATGCCATGACTGAAATGGTGAGAAATGGAGGAATTTGTCAGAAGCGAATTAAACTCAGGTCCAGCGTGACTGCAGGAGGGTCTGGAGATTTCCTGGTGGGCTGGTCTGATGTGTGGGCTGTAGAGCCAGCTCTCTCTGTTTTTTTTTTATTTTTTTAGATCTTTTTATTAACAACATATAAACACAGAACATCGCTGCGGCGGAGGCTGCCAGCGCTTGATTTTTTTTCTTTTTTCCGACCTGTCAATCAATCCAGTAGGCGTGTCAGCAAATGACCAATCGGAGACCTCAATTTGTCCCAAAGGTAAACGCCCCTCGTCTGTGAAGCTGCTCTGCTGCTGCTCTGCAGCTGCTCGGGGTGTATGCTGGAATATGTCTGAACCCTCTGCATACAGTACACGTGTACGTACGCGTAAACGGACGTACGCGGTAGTATACTGGGGCCTTTATTGTACTGGTAGCTTTTTTCGTTTACAGTTTATTCATTAAGCCCCTCTTGGCTCACGCCGATTTGTTGCCGATCATCTGACCAATATGTAGCATCATCTCCAAAGGCTCCGTGTTGTTAGCTTTGTGGAAAACAGCACACATGTCTGTTTGCACCAGTCTGGCAGCCACTATGCTCCAGTTTGGACATAAAATGGAATAATAGAATTTTAAACCAAATATTCAATTCAATTCAATTCAAAAATACGTTATTAATCCCAGAGGGAAATTAAGTGTTGTCGTAGCTCATCATCCTGGTTTCATTCAAGAGTTGTTAGATGCTCATAGCTGTGGGAAGGAAGGATCTCCTGCAGTGAATCTGAAGGATCTGGCCACAGATACTGATCCGTGCACCCAGATCCAGCTTGCTGTCAGATCCGGCAGGCCTCTTGGTCCTCCTGGGCAGCAGGACTGCCCGAATGCTGGACAGAATTCCTCCCTGAGCGATGATCACTCTTCCCAGCAGTCTGCAGAGCTCCTCGTTGCCACAGACAGACAGCTGAAGGTGCCAGAGGAAGATCCCGGTCCTCCTGATGTCACGAGTTGTTTCCCACCAGCTTCAGAATCTCTGCAGCCATGCACTCGAGCACCGCCGTCAGGTTGACAGGAATTTGTCCACGGAGCCTCTTTTTCCAACTCATTTGGGATTTGATGCTGTAGTTGAGGTATTTCAGCTTTTGAGACGTTAATCAGCTGTTCCTGGTTGTTAAAAAACACCTTGTTGCCATGGTTCGCATCATAACAAATGCCCCAAAGTAAAAAGAAGTTTCAGCTAAAATCCTTCCAGCTGCACAGCATCCGATACCAGAGGAAATAATCATCCGAAAAAAGTGATTTGCATCCAGAAAAAGAGGAATTAAAGTTTCCAAAAGCAATAACTCAGAATGAAAGTAACAGAGCTGCTCCAACATGCAGCCAACTTGAGCGGCACAATTATATATTATAAATATATAAATATTATAAATATTAACTTAGTTAAATGAGGACTTCTGTTTGTTAAATCTTTACAGTATAAACAGTTTGAGCATATAATGTTGGAAGGAGTTATTGTCTTGTCTCGTCATCACAAAGCTATAAAATAAAAAGGGGGACTGGTTACTGACAGTATATGATAACTTGTGCTACTCTAATCTCTACTGTGGGAATGCTATGACAACACTCTTCTCCATTTTAGTCCCATAAGATACACGCATGTACACATTACTCTCTCTTTGTGTTTCGGAAGATACTTAAAAGATGGTAACAAAAAAAACTTGGCATGTGTTTTAAGTCTATTGTTTCATCTAGTTTTGGAATTTTGCATGCGGGCATGGAATGCTAACATGCACCTAGAAACTTAATAAAGATATAAACACTTTTTAAAAATCGTGATACTTCTGGACCCTTTAGTGGTAAGTGTTTATAAGCAGAGAAAAGTTTTCCGTCTGAAGAAGTGCTCTGTGAAGCTGTGACGACCCTGTTAGCAATGATGCTTGTGCAAGTGACTAATATTGCAGCATTTCCTTGATTATTCCTAAGCAGTCAGATACTGTATATCCAGGGGTAAAGGTGCTTTTGTTTAAATAATTTTTTTCTTCTTGTCTTTTATTTTTTTTAATTGTATACAGTCAGGATTTTAGACAGTAAATTAAAGGAAAAGAAGGATGACATGCAACAAAGGTCTTGAGCTGGATTTGTTGTGGCTCTGTGGTAAGCGCATTAGAATATTTCTTAGTGGTATTTCTAAAATTAAGTGTGCCTGCCAGTCTTGGTGGCAATTAAGAAGAAATAACAATTAGCCCATGAAAATCACCTGAAAAAAAGCAGTCGTCCTCCAATGCAAGAGTTGGGGGTTCGAATCCACCAGCAGTCACATGCCGAAGTGTCCCTGGGCAAGACACTAAACGCCTCATTGCCTCCAATGGTGTCCCATCAGTGTATGAATGTGATAAATCACTGGTTGGTCTCTTTAGAATGATTTGTTCAATTAGCTTTGTAAAGATCTAGTAGAGTGCTGTATGAATGGGTAAATGAGGACACAGAATGTTGTGTAAAGTACTTTGAGTATCTTGATTAGATAGAAAAATGTCTATATAATTACAATCCATTTACCAGGAGTCAACATTTCATGAAAAAACGATTTAAACTGGTTGTTAATTATGTGACTAATGCTTGACTATTCACCAAGCATCCTGCACAAATATACAAAACTCACACACATAAAAAAACCTGACAGCCCTTTTTGCTTCTTTCTTACGTGTGATAATTTCACTTTGCACATACAGTATTAACTAATACAACACAAAAAGTGTTAGCAGTACAACAAAATGTTACTTATGTCACTAAAATATGCTCTGATGTAAACCAGGCCAATATAACATGATTTGTTTGGATCGATACATACAGTGGAAAGCTCCATGGTTAGTTGGAAACAACTTGGCATATTATTGCCAGTTCATGGTAATGTTAGCAGTGTGTTGCTAGCAGGTGTGGGTAGAAAAAATGTCTATTGTAAAAACAACAATATGAACTCCTGAAATTAGTGTTGTGTATTCTTGCTCAGGAAAATCCCCTTAAGATCTCAGCTCTCTTTTGCAAGGGAGGCCTGGGCCTGAAGGCAGCCTTGTGTTTTTGGATTGTGGGAGGAAACCGGAGTACCTGGAGAAAATCTGAACACTCAGAGAACATGCAAACCACGCAGAAAGACCACAGGTCCAAAACGGGGATTGAACCCAGGACCTTCTTACTGTGAGGCAACAGTGCTAACCACTAAACTGCCGTGCTGCCCTTACACAAATCTTCATCAGGCTAAATCTTCATTACACTGGCCTGAACACCATAGTGTGGCGATTCAAAGACGTTTCTCTTCTCACAAGTTTTCTCTTGACAACTTCCCACCGCTTTATCTTCCAGCTTCCTCCGTGGCTCTGCTTCCCTGATAATCCCCAGTGTGTTTCCTTCCCCCTGTGTGGTTGCCTGAAAGTTGTACCATCTCCTCAGGCTTGCTACTCTCATCACAGGTGCAGAAACAAACAAGTGTGCGCCAGGCTCCAGAGA